CACACACACACACACACACACACACACACACACACACACACACACACTATTAAGCACTTATTATGAGCTGGTCCTGTGCTGATTGCTGCAGCGTAGAGTCAAATGAGATTGGGACCCTGTCTGTCTATACCAAGGAGCTAACAGCCTAGCAGGGGCGCCCCCTACATAGACCAGCTGTTTAGTGCAGGAATAAATAAGCATGTGAAGCATATGCCTGATCCAGAGGAGGAAGTGATAGACTATTCAGAAAAGCTCCACAGAGATGTCCATGCCCTTACTAGGGTTCAAGGATGCATAAATGTTCACTAAACACATTGAGGTGCATTAGAAGCAGAGGGCAGAAGAAGCACGTATGTTAGAGATTGCTCTGATAGGGGCATTGAGAGTTCATGAGACACCAAGAGAAGCAGCCCTAATATTCCAAGTGGGAGATGATAGGAGCTGCAGAACAAGAGACAGGGTGGAGGTGGGGGGGCGGTTAGCTCTTTAAGAAGTAAAATCCACAAGACTTGGTGACTGATGGTGGAGGGCTAGGGAAAGGGAGGAGTTAGGGTTGACTCCCAGGCTTTTGGCTGAAACCTCTGGGTGGAGGGGGTTAGAAGCTGGATCAGACCCTGGCCTGTTGACTCACAACCCAGGGCATGGGATGCGAAGCTTCTTCTAGTAGCCTTTGGTCTGTTAGAGATAACTTGGCCTGTGTAAAATGAGCAGCTCAGGCCTAAGAAAGAAGTGATGGTTAGTGTGTTCCTCCTTTCTGAAGAGAGCTGGACAGTTTATCTGCTGAGAGATGAAATTACCTCCTAATTAAGGAGAAGTGAAGGCTGTGCTTCTGGCAGCAGTAAGAGAATCCCCCGCCCAACGTGTTTACTCATGGGAGAAAAGCAGCAAAGCTTTGAGAGCAGGGGACTGTAGAAAGGCACAGTCCTGCTGCTTAGTGTGGGAGTTTGAGAGAGCTCTTGCTGGAGAACTCAGAACTGCTGGCTGCAGAGGGAGAAGCCTGCTTTTGGCCGGGGGAGGTGGCGGGGGGGGGAACCGCGTGCATGCCGGGTGGTGGGGTCTGGCTGAAATCCAGGAAAGTTTGAACACCAGAGTAAGATTCCGTGATTTATTAAAAAAAAAAAAAAAGGCATTCTAATCAGTCTGTTTATCATCAAACTTACACTGGGTTATTCGTGATCAAAGTTATGAAATGATGGGAAAATTCCAAATTGGACCTTGCTATTTAATTCTGTAGAAAGCTACTATTATATACTATTGATTCAGATTGTTCAAGCATCACTTTTTTTTTAATTTTAAAAGATATTTTTGCTAATAGAGAGGAGGTTGTAGAGAACTTGGTTTGAGGAGTCAGGATTAAACACTTGCAGGAAACCCAGTAAGATGTGCGTAAGGCACATCCTATTGCTTTGGAGAGGCTCTTGTTCTGCCATCTATGGAGCCTCAACAGGTCTGTGGCAGAATTCAGAGGGTCAGTGAACTTGGATGGGAACAAAATTACATCTTTATTTTAACCAAATTCTAATCAATTTATTTTTTATTATAAGTTAAGTATTTATTTATTTTATAGAGCATGTGTGTGCATGCGTGTGCAAAGCTGGGGGAGAGGCAGAAGGAGAGGGAGAGAGAGAATCTCAGGCAGACTGTGCTGAGCGTGGAGCCCGACACAGGGCTTGATCTCACAGCCCTGAGATCATGACCAAGAGTTGGGCACTTAACTGACTGAGCCACCTAGGTGCCCTCTAAGTTAAGTATTTAAAACACAGTAGTATTCGCAGTAGATGTCACCATTAGAATCATACCTCTTTTCATGTTGTAATTGTGGCACATATCTGAAGGTATCATTTATGCTTACCACTACTTTGTATTTATGGTAGTTATTAGATCTACCACTATGTGAGAAGAGCCAGTGCCTTAATAAACAAGTACATAATTACTAAATCACATACAAAATATTTTTAATTTGGATAATCATGCTTCAGTCAAATCTTTTTTGTTTTTTTTTAGTCCTATGCATTGTGTTTCATGCATTTAAAAACCTTATTCTTAGCCAGTGTCATCAGCTTCACAGCTGCCCAAAGAGGTCCATGGCACACAAAAGGTTAATAACCCCTGGCTAAGATCATGTAGTTGTGGCATGTGACCTCCACCTGGTGGCAGCATACTCCTTAAAGGTTAAATCTATAATCAGCATTGTGAAGAAACTTTTAGAGTAACAGTATACTTGAGTATGGTTTTTAAACAGTTTTGATCACAAATCCACAGTAAGAGGCTTTACATCATAAGTCATTATACTCATACATAAGTTTCACAAAACAAGACTTGATCTTACCATGTGACATACTGGTATTTCTTATTCTATTCATATATTCCCTTTGATTCTCTTTCTTTAAAATATAATACTGGTTATAACACAGTATACCGCAGTTCAGTGGGTTACACTCTACTGTTTGACATCGTAGGAGATCCTCTTTCAACATACTTCATGATTTTTTACCTGATGAACTTCACTTTGGTCTTCCCCAAAATATCCATATGTTTTCAGGGACATAATACATTTTATATAACTGTCAGTACATATAAATGTGCTTTTACACAGCTTTAAAAAAATTATTAGTGATGTATAATTTATATATGCCGAAATGAACTGATCTTTAGCATATAACCCACCAAGATATAGAACATTCCCATCACCACACCGAGTTCTTCTGTGCCTATTCTCACTCAGTTGCTCCCTAGATAATCACTATCTGATTACCTTTTTTTTTTTTTTTTAAGATTTTTTGGTTATTTATTTGACAGAGAGAGAGAGAGCACAAGCAGGGGGAGTGGCAGGCAGAGGGAGAGGGAGAAGAAGGCTCCCTGCTGAGCAGGGAGCCTGACGTGGGGCTTGATCCCAGGACCCTGGGATCATGACCTGGGCCGAAGGTGGATGCTTAACCGCCTGAGCCACCCAGGCGGCCCACTATCTGATTGCTTTGACCCCAGATTAGTTTTGCTGCTCTAGAACTTTATATTAGTGGAATCATACAATAGGTATTCTTTTAGCCTGGCTTCTTTTGCTCAACATAAGGTGGAGATCAGTCCATGTTGAGTGTATCAGTAGTTTTGTGAGGAGCATTCCACTGAATGAATGTACCACACTTTGTTTATTCTTCTGTTGATGACTTGGGTTGTTTTCTGTCTTAGCTATTACAAATAAAATTTCGATGAACATTTGCGTACAAGTCTTTCTGTTCACATGTTTTTATCTCTCTTGGTAAATACCTAAAGTGGAATTGTTGGCTAGAAATGTATGTTTAACTGTAGGAAACTGACCAACTGTTTGCCAACGTGGTCGAACCATCTTACGTTTCCACTAGCAATGTATGAAAGTTTGGGTTGCTTCACATCCTTACCAACATACGGTGTGTCAGTCTTTTTAATTTTAGTCATTCTGAGGTACAGGGTTGTATCTCTTAGTGGTTTTAATTTGCATTTGTCTGATGACTGATGTTGAATACTTTTACATGTGTTATTAGCTGTTTGTTTATCTTGTGAAGTATCTATTCAAGCTTGAGTTGTTTGTTTTCTTAATATCGACTTGTAGGAGTTCTTTATTTTGGATGCCAGTCCTTTATGTCAGATACATGCATTTATGAATATTTTCTCTCAGCCTGTGACATACATATTCATTTTATTAATGAGCAAAGGTTTTCAATTTTGACAGAGTTCAATTTAATAATATTTTTCCTCTGTATTTTGTGCTTTGTGGGTTCTAAGAAATTTTTTTCTATTCTGTTTGGCAAGACAGTTTTGGTTTTTATGTGGAGGTCTGTCATCCATCTCAAATTAATTTTTGTGTATGGTATGATGTCAATGTCACGTTTTATTTTCTTCCCGTATTTATGTTGGTATTCTCAGGTCATTAGTTGAAAATACTTTCCTTTCACCATTGAATTATAGCACAGGATTTAAAAAGGAAAAAAAAAAAACTATTTAGCCAAAGAGGTGCAGAAGTGACATTTTCCTACCGGCCCATCAGTGACCCTTTGGGCCTCGGAGACCATCCCCAACCTGCAGTCTTGGTCATCTATTCCTTTCTGAGTTAGCTCATCCACAGTTAGAGATTTTCAGAAATTACTCATAAGGTGTGGGTATTTATAAGGCTACATTTTACAGGGTCTATGGCTGTGCCACAGAGTGGCTAGCCACATATGGCTGTTTAAATTAAATTAAAGTTAAATACAGTTTAAAATTCAGCTTCTCAGTCATAGTAGCCACATTTCATGTGCTCAGTAGCCACACATGGTTATTGGCTACGCTCTTGTACGGTGACAGGAAGCAGGATTTGGACAGTTTTATAGCATATTTTAATGAAACTAATTTAGTTTTGATAACTGTCATTCAGCATCTACCTTCCTCTCCTTGGTTCTTTTTCGTTTGTCCTCATTTCCATTTCTAAGATGTGCTGTCCCAGCCATTCCTTTTGTCTGTCTAAAAATGCAGTAGCTTATATCTTTTCTTTCCTACTTAGAAGAAAGACTTGCCCTGACTATCCACGGAACCCTTCTCTTCTGGAGCCTACCCAGGACTGGCCTATTTGACTTCTTTCTATGTCTGGTAGTCGTCCAACTGCCACTGGATGTCTTGAGCAATCCCCTTTCAAGGCGTGGCCCAGAGATAGATATTTTGTCTTTACTGTCATGACTAAAATTATATTTCTCCTTAGCATTTCTACCCTAAATATTAAACTTACAAAAACTAGTAGGTTTAGGACGTGTAATCCCTGCCCCATATGAAGGTTTCTGTCCACTAGGGAACTTTGTTGCCATTTCATCATGAGCAACCACATAGGAATTTGTTAGATTTTTCTCTGATTGTTTGCTGGGTGTGAGCTAACTCTGCCATTAATGTCTTTTTAGTGTGGGAATTTTGCTGTCCTGGTGGATCTTCACATACTGCCACAAGGTTCAAACAAAGATAACAGCTGGTTTTCTGAACAGAAGAAAGAGGTACCACAAAACTGTTCACTGTTTAAATGCAAGTTGCTGCTGCTAGAAGAAATATTAACTCTTTCCAGCTTTCATTTTTGTTAGTGGGCAAAAAATATTGAATTATATTTAACCCTTGAGAAACAGTTGTTATATTCCAATGACAGACATATACTTGCTTCTTTTTCCCCGAGAAAGTGACACATCTATATATTTCATAAGCTAAATTATTTAAACCAGAAATTTTCAACCTCTTTGTTTTGGGGGAAAGGGCTCATTATAGTTAAAACAGAAGACGATGGTCAAGTGAGGGTTCTAGGCAAGCAGGGATTTTAATCTGTTTGTAAAGGACAGACCAAGACCCTGAAGCAGGTGTGGGGTGAACACAATTCTGATCTTTCACACCTTGAAATCAAATTCTTATTTAATTCTTAAATTATCATCGTCCACTCTTTTGTCTTCTACCATACTTTTTTTTTTTTTTAAGATTTTATTTATTTATCTGACAGAGGGAGACACAGTGAGAGAGGGAACACAAACAGGGAGAGTGGGAGAGGGAGAAGCAGACTTCCCGCAAAGCAGGGAACCTGATGCGGGGCTCGATCCCAAGACCCTGGGATCATGACCTGAGCCAAAGGCAGACACTTAATGACTGAGCCACCCAGTCCCCCCTTGTACCATACTTTTCTTAACACGAGTCTTTGACAGCAAGTGTGAAGATATTTGACTGTATTCCTTCTCACTGAGGCCAGTCAGGGAGGGAGGATGGCTGAATGGTCATGTGGCTGGGAGCCTGGTGTTTGATCTCCCTGGGCCTCAGTCTCCTTATCTGCAAATGAAAGAGTTCAACCAGAGGCCTCTGAGTCACTGCTAGCTCTCAGCTTCCCCAAGATCCCACCCCAGTGCTGCTGTGGCAAAAGGTTCGAGAGTGCATCTGGCTCTCCTCAGATGCTCTGCTTCCTTCTCCATGTCCTTTTACTAGAGAGCAGGGAAAGCGATAGTGAGGCAGTGGCTTTCACATAACTTGCAGAATATTATAGCACTTTGTGTCCTCCGTGATACTCATCACAATAGCTTTTTAGAGCTAGAAATAAAAAATAAGTTTTTATTGAAAGGTAGTATATGGAGAAGAATCTAGTGATAGTGGCAACAAAACAAAGCAAAAGCAAAAAAAAAAAAACATAAAACACCTTTACTGTGGTGATTGTTTTTAGTCAACTTTTGAAGACTACTAGAAAACAAAAACTCCCTCCAAGAAAATTTATAAGTAATACATTTTCAATCACAAGGTACTAATACAATCAGGACTTGGCTGGGCAATATTGTACTTGAGATCTAGTAGCCCACGGCTGGGAGAAGGGAGGCACAAGATTTGGAATAATGAGATTTATTGTTCAGGTTAATAAATGGATTGTCCTCTTCAGGACTTAATATTTAGTAAGCCAGCATCTCCTACTATAACTCAACTCCATGGAATTCCAAATTTGGCTTACCCACACTCTGTTTCCCCAAAGTGACTAATGCTCACCTAAGGGGACCTCACCCCAAAAGTCTTCTGACTTGACTGACGTTAACAGCATTCTAGAATCCACTGTTTCGGGCCCACCTTTTCCTCCATTCTCTCCCAGCTTTACCACCTCAGGCTTCGCCCTTTCTTGTTGATATGTAGTCAGTTTTGCCAAGAGTCAGTTGCTTTGGAAGGCTTTAAAATAAAGGTATGAATGTGTGAATCACCTTCTAGGCAAAGCATGAGGCTAGATTTTTCCAGGGTGCCACACACAGCTGTTGCTGCCCCACCTAGTACTACGTCCGGGCAGCAAGGCATGACTTAGCAAAGGTGCTCAGTGCACGATTGGACCTGCAGAGCTTGGCTGCAGCGTTGGCTGCAAGAAGGCAGGTTATGCCAGCAAGCCAAGCTTCCCTCTCAAAGCAAAGCGGATGGTTTGCTGCTTATACTCGAAGTTGTTCCTTTAAAGTTTGTTCATTGACATTAAAATTGCTGAGAGAGAGAGACGGAGAAAGGAGAAAAGCAAGTCAAGGAAAGGATATGATTCTAGTCTGTATTCAGTGTCTCAGTGCTTTCATCTTTTTTATTATTAGATCATTTCATGATTGGGATTTCATGAGCAATCAATTTGATTGCATTTTAGCAGAGGCTTTAATATAGTGAAAGTCTTAAGAATGTCCATTTCCTTTTCAGAAAAAGGAACTAATTGCATGTATTAAACCCAAGTTTATTTTGAGTCCGGCACGAGTAGTCTTTGTACCCAAGCAGGCAAACTTGAACTGTTTCATTTGTGAACTTGAGGAAGCAAGTGTGAGCCCCTGTTAGCCTAGAAATGCTGTATATATCTCTGTCCTCTTGGTCTTCGATTTCATCTTGGTCTTCTTATGTGCCCTTCTGGTGTAGCTTGGAATTTGTCTTTTCTTGCATTGCTCTGGTTCTGAAGAGAATGCTTCGCTAAGTGTGGTGTGGTCAGTTACTAGGGTATCTTGACCACACTGCACATGGTCTACCTTCCATTCGTCAAACCTGACTCATGGAAGGAAAGCCCCGTAACTATAGGGAGAAAGTTTGTGTTGTATGGGCCTTTGTTTTATTTTTGTCGTACTATTTTTAGTTCTAGCCTTATAGGGCATTTATGGCCAAATTTTAACAGTCTCTGTTTCCATGTATGTCTTTCACATATTTTCTAGCTCAGTCATAGTTGAACCCTGCATGTGAAGCAAAATTCTTTAATTGTTAAAACAACAGTATGAGGCAAGGCTGCCTTTCTGTTGTGTGAACAATGCCAAAACGCTCAACTGTAAACGGATATCTCTGTATTCCACAAGGCACTGCATCTTTGGGCTGCAAAATGAGAGCAGAGAGAGGAGACCAGTGTTTACATTTTATGTAGATCACGTTTGTGAATTAAATCAAGGATTTTCAGTACTGTTGAGGAGTGTATGTATTAGCAATAAAAAACAAGTTTGGCAATCATTGCCCTTCAGAGCCATTTAGAATTTTGTTCTTGTTTTAATTTATGAAGATTCTAAGAGATCAACCTGAGATGGCATTGAAGAAACCAGTGAAACAGGTTTGAGTTGACCTCGGCAACTCCAAGCCTTCTGCAGAGGCTGGGACTTGGACCAGAATTATCAGTCCTTACACACCAGTTTCTTAATCTAAATTAAGAAATTTAGATTTGTGTGCCATTTTTCCCTTTCCCTGCGATGGCTACATGTCTCTAGTGGACAGTTTCTTCCTGTTGTGTGGTGGACTTTAAGAGTTTTGTTTTTCTTTTCATAAGTAACACTGATAAATAAAACAATAGACAACTCCAGAAATTTGCTAGTGGTGTGGTATGTTGACATTGAATTAAAACCATGTGTTTCTGTTGCCTAATATTAATCTACTTTAGGGAAATATGAGAAGTTAAATTATTTTCACCATTAATTGGTGAATATAGTGCAGTTTTCACAAAAGCAAATGGGCATGTACAGTATCATCGAGAAGAGTGTGGAAGAAAATCACATTACTGGTTTCCAGTTCTCTCTTCAGCCCATCACTCAATGCTGTTCTTTCTTCAGTAGATTTCTAAACCTAAGTCCAGAAACTAGTGAATCGTGGTGTTTAGGTTAAAAAAGGGTTTTTATTTGTTTGTTTGTTTTGGGGGGCAGTGCCTGGGTGGCTCAGTCCCTAAAGCGTCTGCCTTCGGCTCAGGTCATGATCCCGGGGTCCTGGGATCGAGCCCCGCATCGGGCTCCCTGCTCAGCAGAGAGCCTGCTCCTTCCCCTGCCGCTCACCCCATTCATGCTCTCTCTCTCAAATAAATAAATAAAATCTTTAAAAAAAAAAAAAAGGTTTTGAACCAAGTTTGAAAAATGGGAAATATTCACATAAAAATCACTGTGGCTGGCTCCTCTTAAACAAATCTGAAGAGCTGATGACCCTGTCCCTGGTACCCTTACACACGGCAGCAGTCCCCCGGAGCCACTGGGGGCAGGGGACTGCCATCCCCAGTCTTGCTTGGCCACACGGGGCACTTCACTCTTTTTATCTTCCTTTTAGAAATGTGAAACTGAGGCAGAGGGCAATGAAATGAATTTCTCGGGTCACAGAGTAAGCCAACATCATGGTTTTGAACAAACCTCAGTAGCGAACTTAAACCTGGCACATTACCCTCGAGCACAGATAGCATTTTTTTTTTCAGCTTTCACAGCTAAGTAAAAAAGCAAACAAAATAAAATGTTCAGTGTTGACTTTTTAATATGCACGATGTTGACTCTTTTTGCATTGCATTACATGAGAAAATTATATCTCATTTTTCAATTTACTTTAGGAAGTCTGTTTACTGTTAAAAGAAACCATTGATTCAAGAGTTAAGGAGTACTTGGAAGTTCGTAAACAGCACAGGCCATCAAATACAGAATTCACAAGATCCAGTCCCTTGACCTTAAAAGGTAGGCACTGAGTACTTTGATTTTGGATAAAATTTCTGCTTTGTAGAGATGGCAATTATGTTTGACTCTGACTGTCATGTTAGTACAGTGATACATTTAAAAACTATGTTCTAATGAGGATGCTTTGTTTGGGTGAAGAAAATTAGCCAAAAAGCCCTAGAGGGCTTTTAATGGTAGGCAAAATATATAAAAATAGAAAATAAAACATTCCTAAGGAAACTGTAAATACTTTAAAGGAAATTTTTTTTTTTGGACAAGTAGTCTTACAAATAGATGTACATTAATGCTGCCTTGATTTGGGGCTTTATGCTTTTTTAAATGCTTTCATATATATCACCCTATTTCAGAGGTTCTCAACTGGGGCTAATGGGTCCCAGGGAACATTGGGTTGTTATCGGGAGAGCGGGAGCGGTGGCAGGGAGCTACTGGAATCTAGGGAGTAGAAGCCAGGGATGCCACTAAATATCCTGCAATGAACAGAAAAGCCCCCCACAACAAGGCATTATCTGGCCCAAAACGTCAAGGGCACTGAGGTTGAACTATCCTGCCCTATTTCCTAATAACACTTTGAGAATGGTGATGTCTGAGTTGTAGGTGATGAAGCTGAGGATCTACAAGATTAAGGGCTCACCCAAATAAAAGATCATCTTTTTTTTTTTTTTAAGATTTTATTTATTTATTTATTTATTTGACAGAGAGAGAGAGAGAGAGATAGCAAGAGCAGAAACACAGCAGGGGGAGAGGGAGAGGGGCTCTCCTTGGCGAGGAGCCCGATGCAGGGCTCGATCCTAGGACTCTGGGATCATGACCTGAGCTGAAGGCAGACGCTTAATGACTGAGCCGCCCAGGTGCCCCTAAAAGATCATCTTTTTGAGGACAGAGATGATCTTGTTTATTTGGCATCTTCACACGCCCCCTCCTCCTTACTTAGCCCAGTGCCAGATACACGGGTTCAGTGACTTGTTGAAGGAAAGCATACTTGGGTGACAAGTGGCAGAACTTGACCCCAGGCCCAGCTCTTCTGATTCCTAGCCCACTGTTCTTTCCACTCTGTCGTTGTTGTTTTTAATTTTTTTTACCTTTAAATCAGCGTTTCGTAACACTCTTTGTCGTACAAATAAGGTCAACCTTGTGTTAATCCTCAGAGGGCAGCACTGGGCAGCCTTGAACTAGGTTTTGCTAATGCAGCACCCTCTTAGGAGAAGAATTGTGTTAAGTAACCCCCTTTGAAGGCATACTTAACCTACAGTGTTCACCTGGGCACAGCTGATAAGTAGGCAGACAGATTAATTGAACCCAAACTGAAAGCCTTGAACAAATGGAATTTTCAGTCCAAACAATATTGTATTAGATGACGCTTTCTGGTATTTCACTTAGTAGTAGGATAAAGCTTGAGAAAAGCCAGAGGAGCTTGTATCCTTTGTACCCCAGCAGACCTGGCTAGTCTCATTTTCTAACTGGTACAAAAGAAGGAACAGAGAAGGTTCTCAGACGTCCATTTCTGGTGTGGAGGTGGCGTGGTCAGTACTGATACTCAACTAGCCCTTCCCCTGGCTTCCTCTACTGCTGCGTGAAAAATGCTGAGTACTCAACTTCCCAGCCTCTCTCACAGTTAGGGAAGATGTGTTGTGTGTTGTTCTGGCCCCAAGATGAAAATCAAAGTCTTTCTTGGGCTCATGAGGGCAAGAAGTTTTTATTTGAATGAATGAGTGAACAAATGAATGAATGAATGAATTTATAACAAGTTTGGTTTTTTTAAAATTTTTTTTTAAAGATTTTATTTATTTTTTTGACAGAGAGAGACACAGTGAGAGAGGGAACACAGCTCTCATAAGGGGGAGTGGGAGAGGGAGAAGCAGGCTGCCCGCGGAGCAGAGAGCCCGATGTGGGACTTGATCCCAGGACCCTGGGACGATGACCTGAGCCGAAGGCAGTTGCTTAACGACTGAGCCACCCAGGCGCCCACTTGATTTTAATTTTTTTTTTCCTGCAAATATCCAGTGTTTTTTTAATTTTTATTTTCTTTTTTTAAAATTTTTTTATTGTTATGTTAATCACCATACATTACATCATTAGTTCTTGATGTAGTGTTCCATGATTCATTGTCCGTGCACAACACCCAGTGCTCCATGCAGAATGTGCCCTCTTTAATACCCGTCACCAGGCCAACCCATCCCCCCACGCTCCTCCCCTCTAGAACCCTCAGTTTGTTTTTCAGAGTCCATCGTCTCTCATGGTTCGTCTCCCCCTGCGACTTACTCCCCTTCATTCTTCCCCTCCTGCTATCTTCTTCTTTATCTTTTTTCCTAACATATGTTGCATTATTTGTTTCAGAAGTACAGATCTGTGATTCAACAGTCTTGCACAATTCACAGCGCTCACACCCTACCTAATGTCTATCACCCAGCCACCCCATCCCTCCCACCCCCCACCACTCCAGCAACCCTCAGTTTGTTTCCTGAGGTTAAAAATTCCTCATATCAGCGAGGTCATATGATACATGTCTTTCTCTGATTTACTTATTTCACTCAGCGTAACACCCTCCAGTTCCATCCATGGCATTGCAAATGGCAAGATCTCATTCCTTTTGATGGCTGCATAATATTCCATTGTGTATATATACCACATCTTCTTTATCCATTCATCTGTCGATGGACATCTTGGCTATTTCCACAGTTTGGCTATTGTGGACATTGCTGCTATAAACACTGGGGTGCACGTACCCCTTCGGATCCCTACATTTGTATCTTTGGGGTAAATACCCAGTAGTGTAATTGCTGGATCGTAGGGTAGCTCTATTTCCAACTGTTTGAGGAACCTCCAAACTGTTTTCCAGAGGGGCTGCACCAGCTTGCATTCCCACTAACAGTGTAGGAGGGTTCCCCTTTCTCCACATCCCCGCCAACATCTGTCGTTCCCTGACTTGTGAATTTTAGCCATTCTGACTGGTGTGAGGTGGTATCTTCTTGAGGTTTTGATTTGGATTTCCCTGATGCCGAGTGATGTTGAGCACTTTTTCATGTGCCTCTTGGCCATTTGGATGTCTTCTTTGGAAAAATGTCTGTTCATGTGTTCTGCCCATTTCTTGATTGGATTATTTGGTCTTTGGGTGTTGAGTTTGATAAGTTCTTTATAGATTTGGGATACTAGCCCTTTATCTGATAGGTCATTTGCAAATATTTTCTCCCATTCTGTCGGTTGTCTTTTGGTTTTGTGGACTGTTTCTTTTGCTGTGCAAAAGCTTTTTATCTTGATGAAATCCTGATAGTTCATTTTTGCCCTGGCTTCCCTTACCTTTGGCGATGTTTCTAGGAAGAAGTTGCTGCGGCTGAGGTCGAAGAGGTTGCTGCCTGTGTTCTCCTTTAGGATTTTGATGGACTCCTGTCTCACATTTACGTCTTTCAACCATTTTGAGTCTATTTTTGTGTGTGGTGTAAGGAAATGGTCCAGTTTCATTCTTCTGCATGTGGCTGTCCAATTTTCCCAACACCATTTGTTGAAGAGACTGTCTTTTTTCCATTGGACATTCTTTCCTGCTTTGTCAAAGTTGAGTTGACCATAGAGTTGAGGGTCCATTTCTGGGCTCTCTATTCTGTTCCATTGATCTGTGTGTCTGTTTTTGTGCCAGTACCATACTGTCTTGATGATGACAGCTTTGTAATCGAGCTGGAATTCCGGAATTGGGATGCCGCCAGCTTTGCTTTTCTTTTTCAATATTCTTCTGGCTATTCGGGGTCTCTTCTGGTTCCATACAAATTTTAGGATTATTTGTTCCATTTCTTTGAAAAAAGTGGATGGTATTTTGATGGGGATTGCATTGAATGTGTAGATTGCTCTAGGTAGCATGGACATCTTCACAATGTTTGTTCTTCCAATCCATGAACATGGAACGTTTTTCCATTTCTTTGTGTCTTCTTCAATTTCTTTCATGAGTATTTTATAGTTTTCTGAGTAAGATCCTTTGCCTCTTTGGTTAAATTTATTCCTAGGTATCTTATGGTTTTGGGTGCAATTGTAAATGGGATTGACTCCTTGATTTGTCTCTCTTCTGGCTTGTTGTTGGTGTATAGGAATGCCACTGATTTCTGTGCATTGATTTTATATCTTGCCACTTTCCTGAATTCCTGTATGAGTTCTAGCAGTTTTGGGGTGGAGTCTTTTGGGTTTTCCACATACAGTATCCTATCATCTGCAAAGAGTGAGAGTTTGACTTCCTCTTTGCCGATTTGGATGCCTTTGATTTCTTTTTGTTGTCTGATTGCTGTGGCTAGGACTTCTAATACTATGTTGAATAGCAGTGGTGATAGTGGACATCCCTGCCGCGTTCCTGACCTTAGGGGAAAAGCTCTCAGCTTTTCCCCATTGAGAATAATATTCGCTGTAGGTTTTTCATAGATGGCTTTTATGATATTGAGGTATGTACCTTCTATCCCTATACTCTGAAAGGATGATGTACTTTGTCAAATGCTTTTTCTGCATCTATTGAGAGGATCATATGATTCTTGTTCTTTCTTTTGTTGATGTATTGTATCATGTTGATTGATTTGCGGATGTTCAAGCAGCCTTGCAGCCCAGGGATAAATCCCACTTGGTCGTGGTGAATAATCCTTTTAATGTACTGTTGGATCCTATTGGCTAGTATTTTGGCGAGAATTTTTGCATCCATGTTCATCAAGGATATTGGTCTGTAATTCTCCTTTTTAATGGGGTCTTTGTCTGGTTTTGGGATCAAGGTGATGGTGGCCTCATAAAATGAGTTTAGTAGTTTTCCTTCTATATCTATTTTTTGGAACAGTTTCAGGAGAATAGGTACTAATTCTTCTTTAAATGTCTGATAGAATTCCCCTGGGAAGCCATCTGGCCCTGGGCTTTTGTTTTTTGGGAGATTTTCGATGACTGCTTCAATTTCCTTAGTGGTTATAGGCCTGTTCAGGTTTTCTGTTTCTTCCTGGTTCAATTTTGGTAGTTGATACATCTCTCGGAATGCACCCATTTCTTCC